GTTTGTGCTATGAGTAGAGTTTTGGCAAGCAGGGCTGTGGAGTCGTAGTCGAGGAGTCGGAGTCGGAGACAATTTTGGGTACCTGGAGTCGGAGTCGGCAAAAAGTTAACCGACTCCGACTCCGACTCCTACTAAATTTAAATGGGAATTAAAAAAGTAAGTTGAAATGTCCCAATTCACAAACAGTCATAATGAACTACTTCTCTGCTGTAAGAATAAAGCCCAATGCATGCAGTGCATAATGTTACCAGAAAACGAACATGTCAAGTAACCATGAAGCATGCTTTTCATTGACTGTATGCGTCACTATATGGGGATGTAATGCACAGGTAAGGTGCGGCACCGCTTTCCATTGTGTCGTGTTGCACTGTTACAGGGAACTGTGAACCTAGCCTAAAGCCCCCCATATATAAGATGCACTGCCGATTTTTCGGCCGTTCAATGAGTCATCACGCGTCAAACGCCTGAAAAATCATCTGGTGTGTTCTCAGCTCCGTCGGCTCCCCTTCGCTATGCGCTACCCTTGAAACCTTGTTTTCATTGTGTTTGTCTTTAATCTGGCATTATAGTAGAGTGTTGGCTTCCTAGCCAGTAGTTCTGTGGTGAAATGACATGTATGTTGCCTTCCTTTCCTTCAATGGATGTAGACAATACATTAGCATAGTATATACATACAGAGGAGTCGGAGTCGGGGAGTCGGAGTCGGAGTCGGAAGATTTAGAAACTGAGGAGTCGGAGTCGGAGCATTTATCTACCGACTCCACAGCCCTGTTGGCAAGTAAAAGTTTTTCCAAAGTTGCCACGCGGTGCCGAGAGCTTTATTCCTCTCTCAACCAAGACATTACAGTGTGGAAATCTGGTGTATTGAATCCAGTGCTGGAAGAATTCCATAGTGTTAATACCTTCGACAAAAATAGCTAATAACTTATTAAACTATTTTTAAACCTATTTTTAATTTATTAAAAACGCTACCAACGATGACTACAGCTAAAAGATAAACTTTTTAGTTTAAGGTTTAAGTATTGATGTTTTGAAGAAGAATGCTATTCAAATTATAAGGATTATCAGAATAAATTACAGATCACGTGATTGTATAACAGCCATTAACCATCAATCATCATAAAAGGAATGTGATTCACAAATTCAACAACTAACCATATCCCCCTAGAATGAATTTGGCTATGGAAAAATAAAATTTTGTACAGGGGGAACATGCACATTGCTCTGCAAACTTATGGGGAACATGCACACCTTTCCACACACTCAGGGGGAACATGCACACCTTTCCACACACTCAGGGGGAACATGCAAACTCAGCATAACATTAACTCACATAATATAATTTCAATCAGTTATTTTCACTGACTAACATGCCATGTTTTTATCTGTTTTTTAGCTGTTCCAGTTGTCCATATTAAAAATGGAAGGCTGTCAGCCTAGAAAACCTTCTTTGGGAAAACATGTAGAGGAGGGAACATCCTCTGAAACTGAACTTCCCATGGAACAAGAAGAGGGAGGAGCTTCCTCAAAACAGGGGAAGCGGAAACGTGTTCCAAGGTAAAATAAGCTGCATATTACCACCAGTACAAGAATGAAAACAACCACAGTAGTAATGGTGAGAAATGCAAAGGGAATTAAGAAATGAATAAAGCAAGGAAAGTGCAGCATGTTGCCTTGGTGGTCAGACTGTCGCTCCTGCCATAACACCTGCATTCAGTGACCCTTCAGAACGACCGGTTCTTTCACAAATGTTTGTAAAGCTGACTGCATGGTTAGGTGCTTGACTTTATACATCTTTGGCAATGAGTCAGAGTGAAACACCTAAATTCCCTGATTAAGAGGTGTAGCTCGATAGTTTTGTCCATATAATGTATTTAACAACTAAGTTGTTCTAAATGTATACAGCAGCACAGTATTGCAAAACAAATGTGTATAACATAAAAAAGCAGGTATATATTGCATATATTTTTTTAAGATATTTTAAATGAAAACGCTGATGTTTTAAATTCCCATTTTCTAAGAAAATTAGAAGCTTTTAAATTGGAAATTACAGATTAACTCAATGTTATGTGTAAAGTTATGCAAGATATCAGTGTAACGAGTTAAAATGAAAGGTCACCATAGATCAGTGCGTACACCACGTTACTTTCTCTGGCATCGCTCAATTCGCTTGTCCTGCCATTTCACAGCAAACCATATTGTCTGCTGCAATATGAACTATCGTGGGTCATAACATCCCCATCCTGAAGAACAAACTCCAGTGTTTGAACACCAAAAATACACAAAATAAGCTGCATATCGACACAGGATAGGGCATCTGGCACGTTTTAAACCCGCTTCTTATACTTGATCGCTAAAGGGAATGAATGAGCATGCAGAGACCACCTCAGTAACGTTTGCTTTCCATTTCTCATTTGACTATGAATTATTGTGGGTTGGAACACTACATTTACAATAAACAAAATCAATACAGCGATATATTATCATATGGCTGCGTGATACACAGTGGTGGCTGAAGTGGCTCCTCATTGGTTCTGTAAAACACTATATAAATGTAACATTCATTTATGCTTTGTCTGTGCAGTTTGTATGTGATCTATATGTTTGCTTGGGTTTCCTATACTTGCTGCATCCTAGGCCTGGACGATATGGCAAAAATTTATATCACGATATATTTTTAAATTTTGGTCGATACGATATAATTCCGATATCGATATGGACAATATTAAAAAGCCTCAGGAAAAAACTGCCGAGGACACGCACAATGGTTGTCTGCAAACTGAATTTG